TTGTTGGCACACAGCCAGGAGTGTTAGTATCATTGCTCCTCCACAGAACTCGCTCTACTCCTAGAGCATCAGCCCCATGATCTGCACGTCAAGCCCTGTTCCTTAGAATTGCTTGTTGGGTGTTTTTGCCAATGTCTAAGCAGATGAAACCCAGAGTATGTTCTTAGAGGAATTTTGTTGACCCCAGTCTCTTGTCAAGGACTGTATCCCACTGTCTGTCCTCACTTTATGAGGAATCACAATCTCATTTACATTACTTGTTGATTTGTAACCCAGCCTATCTCATTTAGCTGCAAGTTTGTGAAGCATAAAAAAAAAGTAATAATTATGATACTATCCTAGGAGAAGCATAGTTGGAAGGTTAAGTCTAAAAACCTTGAAATGTATGATAATACTAAATAACTGTTTTTAATTTTGATTATGTATGCTACTCATCACAACTATTAATATGGATATTGGAAATATAATCATACTAAGTGACAAATTGCTTCATAATCCTGATAAACTTCTGCAAATTGAACCAGTATAAAAAAAAATTGGAAAAGCCAAATGTTCAGAGTGTTTTACTGCCTTATAAATTTAGAAACGTAATTCATGTTATTAATTTGGAATATTTCATTTTAATAGATGAAGGGAAACAATGTAGATAACGCTACTGTTTTCATTATCTGAGATGCAAGTGTTTGAAAATAAAATGAACTGGAGCCAAGGCAATAATTGAACATGTACCCAAAACTTATTTGCTAATAATTGAACCTTGAGACTGTAATTAAAAGTATCTATTCAAACAAGACTTTTTAGGTTATTGTTTCAAAAAATGGATTATCTAGATTAGAGTACAATGAAAATCACGTGCTTGAAGAATTTGATAAGAGTAGGTAACATTCAATTTGACTAATACTAACTATTTTTGAGGTTAAAACGTTGAAGAGAAGAATATATATATATATACATTTTATACATATACTAAAATGATCATAAACAGAAAAACACACTCAAAGTACAACATAATTTTTCCTAGTAAAACTAAAACACTCCGGTTATGATGCTTATTTTTTTACGTTATTTTGTACTTTGTTGTATACAGTAATATATTATGCATAGATGTTTAGATATATATAGGTGAGTGGAAATAAATGATGTGTGTGTGTGCACGTGTGTATATACACTTGCTTCACTTTTGGAAGAAATATTTAAAGAAGCATAACTTAGGCAAGTCAGAGACCCTGCAGATTGAGTGTCAATCAATTGCATGATCTTCAGAGCTAAATATTGACCACTTGAGGCCAAAGCAGCACCTTTTGTTTTGCCTAGTTTCATGTTCAGCTGCAGTTCTAAACCAAGAGTTTCACCCATGATTGGATGGGTTAAAATGGCCCTTGTGAGTGGGAAGTAGAATTTTCTTCATCAGAGGCTGTTGCTGCTAAAGAGGAACATAAGATTCCATTTACCACCTCACTGCGGAGCTATAGTCAAGAAACCAGGCTTGCAACCTCTTGTTTGCCATTTGTGTTGTTTCCTGTGTGCCCTGCGTAAACATTAGCACAAACTACCTAAAAGGGAAAGGACTGGATTAGCCCAGGCCGAGTGGTTAAGTTCACGCGCTCTGCTTTGATGGCCCAGGTTTTCATGGGTTTGGATCCTGGGCGCGGACTTAGCACTGCTCATCAAGCCATGCTGAGGCTGTATCCCACATGCCACAACTAGAAGGACTCACAACTATAATATACAACTATGTACTGGGGGGCTTTGGGAAGAAGAAGGAAAAATAAAATCTTTGAAAAAAAAAGGGAAAGGACTTTTCTTCTGAGCAATGAACTGTCGTAGAAGGAGATAAGCACAGGGAAAGATCTCCAGCCAGATTTAGGGAAAGGAAAAAAACTATCAATGGTAGAGTAGGATGTAAAAACAATCTGTATGAAGACAGATGGAGGCCCCAGGGCCTGCTTTCAGAAATTCAATGAAAATATGAAGAAACATTTTACCACAAAAGAGAAAGTGGGCTGATCTTGGGGAGGGGTTGGGAGCAGGAACAAACCCGTGAGCTTTTCATCAATTCAAAGCCTCAAGATTTAGTAAAGTCCAGCTCTACAATTTTTTTCTTATGAAGTAATTATGAAAAAGGTCTTTGACATTTAATATCTTTGTTTGATGCACCTGATAAATCCTTGTGAAAGTGTATATTTTACCTCTAAATTTGGCTGTAATTGGATTGAGGATGAGTTGATTAATTCTTCAAAGTGTATTCTCTGTATGCCCATAATTTATTTTTTGTATAAACTTTAAATTCTTTTAAATGTCATACCATGACACAAATACATGGTACAGCTTTTAGTTTACAACATATCATGAACAGAATATAGTAAATATTTACTCATTTTGTAAGACAAAAACAATTTTAGTGCAGTAATATGTTTTATCAAAAAGGTGGGGCTAGGGCCAGCCCAGTGGCATAGTGGTTAAGTTTGTGCGCCCTGCTTCAACAGCCTGGGGTTTGCCTGTTTGTCTCTCAGGCGCAGACCTACACACCACTTATCAAGCCATGCTGTGGCAGCCTCCCACATATAAAATAGAGGAATATGGGCACGAATGTTAGCTCAGGGCCAATCTTCCTCAGCAAAAAGGGGAGGTTGGCATTGAATGTTAGCTCAGGACTAATCTTCCTCCAAAAAAACAAAAAAAGGTGGGGTAAATATAAATTATATGATGCTTGTGTTCAATATATACTTTACATATAGGAACAGCAGACAGAAAATCTATGTTCCTCACATTCTCCAATTGTTTGTATACAGTATTATGAAAGCTGATAATGAAATACCAGGCACCTTAGTTTTATAAGTACAAATACATGATCATAAAGTGTTCTAAATAAGTGAAACTGTGTAATACATTTGGCATTCTTTCAATTGAATGTCACAACATGTTCTTTTCATTCTATTTTGTTTTGTTCTGAGTTTTTGTATAAGAGTTAAGTCAAGCTGATTAAATCATTTCAGTACCATAAGGAGGAAGCATAGAAGAGAGGATTAGCTCATCAGGCAGGATGAGTTAGGTCATAGTTTATCCCACCATAATTCAAGTGCTGTGTTCTCCAAGTCTGGAAGTTATGGTCATGTCAAGGGTCAGCGCCAAAATGTCTTTTATCATAAGTTGGAACTGCTTATTCTTGCAGCTGGTTAGTTAGACTTAGTCAGATTTTTTCTTTTAAAGCTCCGGATTGTCTTCAGTTCTCTGCCTTCTTGGTTTATAAAAATAACTGTATTAGTTTATATTAGATATAGTGACACATCTGTTAAAAAGGAAAGTCAATTTATATATCTCTTTTTTCAATAACTATAAACAGAAGTAGAATTAATGTGAAGCGTAGAGATGTATTTGAAATAGTAAGACTTGGGTCAAGAAAAGAAAGAAAGGGTGGAAACCAGTGTTTTTCAGACTATGGGTTGTGACTCGTTAGTGGGTAGTGAATTAAATTTAGGGGGTCTTTGACTGAATTTTAAGTATGAAATAGAAGAGAAGAAAATAGGTTAACATAGAAAATAAAATATTGGGGCAGTTATGAAACCTATTAATGATAAGTACGTGTGTGTGGATTATGCTGGATTAAGCTGTAAATTGTTTTTCTTCTTAATCTTGAACAAAAATAGTCTGTCAGCCATCAGTGTAGAATAAAGAGGATGGATTTGCTAGCTATGAAACTCTGGGAAATTAATCTCTATAAGCTTGTTTCTCATCTGTAAAATGGGAATAATCCAATCTACCTTACAGAGTTAATGTGAGAATTAAGAGAGAGGAGACATGCTAACACCCCCAGCATGGTTCCTGCCACATATTAGACACTCAATAAATGGTACCTTTTATTAGTAGTGACATTGTAAGTGATAAAACTAATGTGTGAATGCATTAAATTATATGCTGGCTATTTTGGGATGGCTGGAGGGGATAGCAAACATTCAATCAAAGTTACGCATCAAGGGAAATAAGCTAGAGCAAGAAATGTGGTCAGGTAGAAGTGTGCTAAGGAATGACAGGCTTGTAGAACTATATATTTCGTTGGGATTATTCCCTCCCTTCCAATAACTCCTCGTTGATCAGGAATCTAGTAGCCATTCAGCCAGTTAGCCATCTCACTCAAATACCTCTTCTGTTGCCAAATGTACCTGAAAGGATAATTTGGGTTTACCTTCAGGTCTTTCAAGTACATATGATGTGATTTCAGAGGCTTATCTGTAAGATGGAACTAACCATTATCGTGAATGAGATTCAGTTTAATTACCATTGCCTGGATGGTCTCCAGTCATCAGGTGTTGTGAACAGGCCTTCTTGGAATAGGTACAGTGAATGGGTTTCATAAATAAAATATGGACCATGTTAAAACCAAACTACAGTCATATGTTCTTACCTCTCTAATTAAATGTCATGTTTATCCAGATTTTTGTTTATGTTCCCTCTCTTACTCAAGGCAAATTCCTTGATAGCAAAAAAGGATGCCTTATTCATGGTGCTGGCAAATATTTGACATAAACACATGTTTTTATGAATGAAAGACTCCTGATTATCAACATATAAATCATATTGTGGCAGACTCACATTTCTTCTTCAGTTTTTCTGTGAACGGCCGATTTTTAGTATCTTCCCAGCTCGTTTATTGCTGTCACTGCCTAAAGCAGAGAAAGGTGGAATAGGAAAGTGATTCTTCGTACATTTGAATCTGTCTACCAACTCACCCTGGGCAATAAGATCCTGACCCAACACCCTCCCGTAGGCAGGCACAGTAGTCCTGGGGTCCTCAAATCCCAAAAAGAGCTCCATTATTTACAAGTCATAGAATATGTCTGACTCTTCTAGACTAGAGTTCCAGAGAATCTGGTTATCTTACAGCTAAGAAATATATAGCTCTCTACATGGGCTATGCGTTCTCTCTCTATTTTCTTTGTTGATTTTTTGTTTGAGAACACTGTGAATATGTTTAACACTATCAAGACAAATATTTTTTCCAGGTCTGAGAATGAATAAAGGCGCCATCACACCTCCCCGTACTTCTCCTTCGAATACGTGTTCCCCAGAAGTGATCCATCTGAAGGACATTGTCTGTTACCTGTCTCTCCTTGAAAGAGGAAGACCCGAGGATAAACTCGAGTGTATGTGTTTCTTCATTTAGTTTACTTATCACAGTTGGGGGTGGGGAGAGGGACTGGATATCGATGACCTTAAAATTGTATCTGCTACGATTGTCTAATTTTTTGTTAAATAAAGTGACCTTGGTTAATAATTAAGAATTGCCCCGATTGAGAATCAGACAATTAAAGGATATTAAGAATCTATCAATTTCAGGTTATTATTTATCAAATTCCATTTATTACCAGGTATTTCTTGAGCATGTTTGTCTGCCAAATGACTTTTTTTAAAGGTTGGTAACAAAATGATATTGGAAAGTATCCTTCGAGTTGTTTTGAAAAAAAACATTTATTTCTAGTATATGATGAGGTCTTCCCTTTAGTCAGCAAGAGCATTCACTGTAGACACACAACCTGAACCTTTCTGCCTTCAAAATCTTCCTTGGAACCTTCAACATTGACACTTTCTTTGCCAGGGAGAAATGATTTCTCAAAGGCAAACATGAGAGTTTCACTTATAGGAGTTGACTCTGGATATTAAAAATTAAACACTGGTCTGTTTGTTTCTTCTACAATGGAGCAGGTATTGCAGATGGAGAATTTCTATCTGGTTGAAAGGAAGTGGTGCTCTCCTTAATAAAATGTAGTGACTGAGCTCTCTCTGGTGGCAAACTGTACTCATTGCAATGCAAGATAAGATTTCTCCAGCGTTTGCTCTAAGCCTGATGATTTAATAATCTATTCTCTCTCCAAAGCCCTTGCTAAATATAGAGCTGCTGGTTTGTTCAATAATCTGATTAACTTGATTATATTGGATACCATTTAAGAGAATTAAAAGTTCTTGTCCCAAAATGAGAGTGAAGATAGTAAATCCTAAATTTGATATTTCTAAAGCAAGTATAGAATGTTGTGACATCTCAGACTTATGATTAGGAAGCATGTTTAGTCAAATGTAATAGTAACTTGATAATATTTCTCTTACTAACAAAGAATTTACTATAATATTATTTGAGTCACACCTGCTTAAATTATGAATAAACCATGATAACATCATTCTTTAAATACATATTTATTATTCCAAAATGTTGAATATTTGCATTTCAAGATTTATTTGTTTTCCTAAGCACCTACAGAAATCTCTCTCATTCCAAAATAAATATTAACATTCAGTGAATTTCTATTGAAGGGATAGCCAGAGACAAAGTTTGCTCAGGTGCTGTCAGGACCGTGTTTGGGATGATTTTAAAAGTACAAGGGCAAATATTTTTTTTCCAGGTCTGAGACTGAATAAAGGCACCATCACTCTTACCCAACATGGTCTTTGTGTTGCAGTTTATTTTTAGTCAACTGGAAGAATTTTGTTTTCAAGGTGGAATTCCTAAGAGGCATGCTTTGAAGTTCTCAGCTTGAGTCTATGAATCCACAGTCTTTGTCCACAATCGCAGGCAGAGTGTTAACCCAGAAATCATTCAAAACGCTTGGTGAAGCAAGTGAAACCTCACCTGCGGCTTCCCTTTCTTCAGTGCTATCAGCCCCTCCCCTCTCTTCTTCCTTTGAATTTTCCAGCTCTTTTTCAAGGTTACATCAGATTCAGTTGCATTTTCCTTTTTTTCTTCACCATTTCTTCAGATTCTTCTCCTAGGCAGACTTGTAATGGCCTGGCATTTTTACTGTGATTTTCACCAGACTCTTCAAAGTAAGGGAATTTCAATTTCCGAAGCACATTAAGGTGTAACTACGGTCCAGCTATGTTCTGCTTCTCTCTCTACTATCTTCTACTTTGGAGGACCTTAATCTGCTCCTTAACCATCGGGAGATTGTTTTTGTTTGTTGTTTTTCAAATGCCAGTGCCTGGCCCTTTCGACATCAATTAAAGTAGAATCCTTTCCTCTCACTCACTTTCTTAGCAGGGTGCCAGGCATTTTTTCCCTTTGACAGTTGGGCAATTACAAATTCCTAACGTTCATGTATTCTTTAAAGTTATAGATTTTTAAAAATGCTTCAGTAAAACTTTAAAAACATTTAATGGTTGTAATTTAATATATACTTATTTCCAAAATGGTTATGACTTATTTAACACAATATAAACTAGAGGAAAGGAAAGAAGGAAAAGTAATTAAAACAGAAATAGTTACAACCAAGCACCAAATATAATTAACTTTTGTGGGTGAATGCTAAATTTAGATCTGAATTTCCAAGTAGCCAAGCAGAAAGGAATACATACACGTTGGTTTAGGCTAGAGATTTCCAGCTTTATCACACATAAGAATCACCACAGGGCCTGTGAACAGACAGCTTCCTGGGCCCCAACTCCAGTATATGTGATTCAGGAGGCCTGGGGTGGAACCTTAGAATTTGCCTTTCTATGATTTCCAGGTGATGCTGCTGTTGCACCAGGGACCACATTTTGAGAAACACTGTTTTATGCAATTCCTTCTGACAATGAAAATCCGCACACACACACGCACGCACACACTCTCAGCCACAGACACACACAATTCATCTGAAATGATGATTGTTTCTTGGAATTGAATGATGGCAGTATTTGGTAGGTTCTTTCACTTGGGTTATTATATAAAATAATGACGTTGTTGTAAATGTTTATAAAGGAAATACATTTTTCACGAAAATAATGTTTTATAAATCTGTTCAGTGCTTACTGTCACTTTCTGTCTTCCCTCCCGTCTTTTCTGCCAGGCATTTACACAATGTTTAGAATAAAGCTTTTTGTTATTGTTGTTGAAAGGAAGTTAACAAAGAAAAGCTCCTAAACTTTCCATGGATTGTAAGCCATTTCTTCAATTTCCTTTCCTTAACCCAATTCTAATTCCTCACTGAGGACTTTGCCTGTACTGAGGCCCTATCAGGTAGAAGGTGTTTATTCACCTACTCCCATGGACCCTTGGAAAGTGTGTGTGCATGTGTGTGCGTGCATGTGTGTGTGTGTGTGTATGCGTCTTGAGGATGTAGGGGATTCCATTTTTATCTCTCCTTGTTGGTGTCAGTTACCAACCATCCCCCGTGCATGAATGAGAGCATTGTACCAGGGCTCATTACCCTCTTCACCTTAAACCCACTACAATACTTTGTGGAGATCCATGCAGTACATCTCTCTTTTAGTCTCCTCGCATTCCTCAAATTCTGTGACCTTACCTCTATTTTATTTCAGCCACTCACTTCTGTTGCAATACCCAAAGCCTTGTAATTCCCAAAAACTGCTTTTTTCTAAAATTTTAAACTCTATTGTAGTCATCCCTTGGTACCACAGGGGACTGGTTCTAGGACCCCCGTGGATACCAAAACCCGAGAATGCTCAAGTTCCTTACGTGAAATGGCATAGTATTTGCATTTAACCTGCACATCCTCCCGTATACTTTAAATCATCTCTAGATTACTTTTAATCACTAATACAATGCAAATTCTATGCAAATAGTTGTCATACTGTATTGTTTAGGGAATAATGAGAAGAAAAAGAAGTCTGTACGTTTTCAGTACAGACACAACCGTTGGAGGCCTTTTTATTTGAGGTGGGTTGAATATTGAGGTGGATTCGTGAACCTGAAGATATGGGCACCGACTGTATTTTACTTTATCAACAGCTTATGTTCACTTAACTTTTCACTCTCCTACTTTTAATTTAAATCTTAGTACTTAAGATGTATGCATCCTTAGTACTTAAATGAATGCATCCTAGCTTTGACACTTTCTATCTGAGTGACCCGGGCACATTTTAGAAACCTCTTCAGGCCTCAGCCCCCCCAGTTGTAAAACTGGGATCATAATGATATCTGGTGCATGTGTTTGCTATGAAGATTAAATGAACCAATATTTGCTCACACAAATTCCTTCACAGTTATTAGTTCACCTCAATGTTTGTTAAGTGAAATAAAAGTTAAGAATTCTTATCCCTTAACCACTTCCCTTCCTCCTGAATTTGCCTGCTGCTTTTTGCCTCCCATACCTTCAAATATAGACTGACTCTGTAATCCTAGATGTCAATCATTCTTTCACACTTAGTTTCAGGCACCCAATTTATTTGCTCGTATAGTGAGGTAGCAGAGATTTAGTGAAATAAAAACATAATTGTATATTGTCTAATCTATAATCATAGCTCTACTCAAAACCTCAGATGACCTTCAGTGCATTCAATGTTTCTCTGGTCATCAACTTCTTCTAGTTAAAAGTTAATCCAGATGCTTCGTTTCTTCAAACACTTACCTATTTCATCATCATCTCACTTATTAGGTGTGAATTCTCGTAACTTCCTTTCATTTTACCTAAAACTTGTCAACTTCTAGACCTGTTTTTTCCTCTTTCTGTTCTGACTCAGGATGAACAATTGTACCTTTGATAGTTCCCTAGAGAATAAATAATACATAAAATTAGGCCCTTAATTTAGCATCCATAGACTGATCGGGCTCCACAATTTAACCCCAACCTACTTTGCTAGTGTTGCTTTTGGCTTTAACCTGTACACACATGCACAAATGACGTCCCAGTCACATGAGTCTACTTTTCAATCATCAGACAGATCCTGAACTTTTCCACCTTCATCACTTTGCTTATAATGTGCATTTGCTGGTGGTGTTCTTTCCCAGTGTATATCAGATACAGTTCAGTCTACACTGAGACCTAGCTCATATCACGAGTCCTCTCATCATCTCCTAATTGGATTTATTTTGCTCGCCTTCCTCGTACCCTTGCACTATGTGTAATTTCCCACCCTAGCACCTACCACTTGTGTGTGCATGTGTTTCAACAGATAAATGCTCACTAACTGATAGTTAAATTGAAGTTAATGGGTGCTTGAGAAGAAAAAAGTAAGGTGAATTATTTAACGCATGAAACAATAGTAAATTTGTTTATACTGTGACTTTAAATGATATTCACATTTGGATTAGTGTTTATAAATTATTATTATTATTATAACCAGAATAATTTTTAAATTAGTTTACATTTACTGAAAATGTATCACTAAAATGAAGACTAACCTGTATGTAAAAGTTACTGCTATGTATAGTATT